GCGTGCGTGCGTGTGTGTGCGCGTGTGTGGGTATGTGAGTATGTAGGTATGCATGCATGCGTGTAAGCGTTTGTCCAGGCATTTGTCATGCATGTATGTACACACGTGCCTAAGGCGTATAAGCAATGCTTAGAATGCGGTTACGAAGAGTAACTGCACAATATACTGTTTAGACTCTCCGACTCTGGTTGCATGGTACGGTAACATTGTGATGAAAATGTCGCGGGTCATATTGTTACCAAGCAATTAAAGTGTGGATGTAGCTACACTAGTCATTCTACTATTACACCACTACTACTACTACTACCACTACTACTACTACTACTACTACTACTACCACTACTACTACTACGACTACTACTATTATACTACTACCACTACTACTACGACGACGACGACGACTACTCCGACGACTACTACAACTACTGCGACTACGACGACGACTACTACTACTCCTCCTGCTACTGCTACTGCTACTGCTACTGCTACTGCTACTACTACTACTACTACTACTACTACTGCTAGTGCTAGTGCTAGTGCTAGTGCTAGTACTAGTACCAGTACTAGTACTAGTACTAGTACTAACGAACTAACGAACGAACGAACTACCTACCTAACTAGCTAGCTAACTAACTAACTGCTGCTACTGCTGCTACTACTCCTCCTCCTCCTCCGCCGCCCACTCCCACTCCCACTCCCACTCCTACTACTCCTCCTCCTCTTCTCCTCCCGCTGCTAACCACGACTACCACTATCACAAGAGTCTGCTGCAACTCGTGCCTGCAGCCTTAGGGTTGGCTGTGATTTCTGATTTCTGAGTATCACAGGGACATTCAATGGCAGATGCCTAAGGCTTACTATGTTGCGTCCGCTGGTGGCGGTCTATGTCAATGCATGCTTGAACTTTAAACGTGACTGCTTCCCACTGTTGCAATGTTACAGCAGCTTGGGGTACAAACGACAAGGGGCCAGGACCACCGTGCTCCCGCCCTCGACGTGCAACGGGTCTGTGATGCACGCGCTGGCCACTGCACCACCGTTTTCGAGCTTTACCTCGTCATTGCACCAAGGCCCCAGTTTTCAAGATTTCGACTCTCACACTCGCACAAACAGGCAGGGCTCCACAACAAATGCAACAAAGTCCACGAGATTTCTACTCTGGCATGCAGGACATTGCGTGGGCTGCTCAGGCAGACTAATCAGATTCATCAAAGCACTAACCCCCTGCGATGTACGCGGCCGGTTGCTATGCACCGCAGGCTTGACTCAGGCAGCCGTGCAGTCGACATCAATACATAACATGGCAAGCTGGCCTGAATCATGGCTATTGTGTTGGGATATTCTTCAGCACCTCATTGGGTGCCGGCTCTTCACTTTTCAGCACCCCATTGCACAGCATCGGGTCTTCCTTCACCTCCGCAGGTTCAGCCTCCTCCCCCGTCAGCGTACAGCCGAGCAGAATCGTCCCCAGCGCCAGCAGTGTTAGGTAGACAGCGCCACCCATCATCAGCCCGGAGGCTCCGTGGTTCTTGGCCAAGGCCAGGCCGGGCAGCGAGATCAGCGAAGACATGATGAGGGGCCCAGCGTTGAAGAAGGCGCTCGCCGCCCCTGCGATGTCGGGCATCTCCTGGGGAAACTCAGTGCTGATGGCAATGATGACGGTTACGGGCCACAAAGAGAAAAACAGGTAGGCACCGATGTAGCAGAACAGGCTCTTTGCAAAGAACACGCCCACCAGGATCTTCACGATGGCGGTGAGCAGCAGAAGCGGAGCCATGGTGAAGTACACACGGCGTGGCGTCCATTCCAGCCAGTTCACCAAAATCGCCATAAATATCGAGGGCATCGAAAAGCACGAGATCACCAACGCCGTTTGCATGAGGGGCAGGCCGTACTCTTCCTCCAGATTCACAGCATGTCTGGCACCAATGACCGTGATCATGGCAACCAGAACCGTTTGTGTAACCATCATCAGGAAGCGGCGCAGGTGGCACAGAGTTCGCTTTGCAGCTGTGAAGATCGATTCGCCAGCGTTCTCCGGCACCGTCTCCTCCAGCCGCAAGACGAGCCCAGCCAGGACGGCAACTAGCAGAGGAACGGTTGCCAGGAAGGAGAACCTCCAGCCCATCCAGGAGGCAAGGAGTGCTCCCAGGCTGGGTGCAAGTGTGGGACCGAAAAGCCCCACCACGGCGAAAACGGATAGTTTCGCCATTCGTTCAGTCTCGTCCTCATAGCAGTCGCGGAGCAGCGCGAGTGAAGCGGTGGCAGTGGCCTGCGAGACACCTTGCAGAATGCGGCCCAACACAAACCACGGGTAGCTGACCGCACAGCCGGCACAGAGAGTGCTCACGACCAGGAGAAGCACTCCTGCAAGGAGCACAGGTCTTCGCCCAATTCGGTCGGACAGGGGCGCCACGAGCAAGGTTGAAATGCCACTGGCAGCTTGGTGCATCTGCAACGTGACACCGATGCTGGCTTCTTGCACCTGGAACTCCGCCGCGATGTCTGGAATGCTTGGCAGGAACTGGTCGGTCAGAAACCACTCCATTGCGAAAGCGCCTGTCAGCAAGGCCAGCTCTGTGTCCGACAGCTTTCGTTGGCTTCGCTTGGGGTACTTCACCCGGAGGCCACAAAACCCATCGTAGAGGAGGAGCACAGCAACAGTCACGGCTGCGGTCACGGCAGCAACTTGAGTAAATCGTTGGAAAACATGGCTTGGGTGGATGGGCGGGGCCAGCTCGTTGTATACAGTGGTGGCAGTCAGCTCATGGGAGCTTTGAAGCAGCAGGACATGGATATCTTCAGTAACGGAGAGGTCGGTTGCAAACATGGCTCGGTGCAAGGCTACGGCACGCGAGCCGAAATGAAGCTTGAGCCAAGAGCGAAAGATTGACAGCTCCAGGTGTCCTTAGGGGGCATCTTTCCTTGTTCCAGAACAGCGGCTGTCTCATATGAAAGAGAAAGGCAAACAAGTTCGACACCTGCTACACTGCAATGGGCCTCGGCAACATTGGTGGCCATGAGCACTCCACCCTTCACCTTCACGGTGCCACCACCTCAAGGAACTGAGGAGAACGGCTCTACAGAACTTAGGACCCAAGCTGTCCCACAGCCCTCGCCTCGGCCCACACTGATGTAACGATCACCTTGCTTCTTCATGATGTCTTTCGGCACTGCGACCTAGGCACCACAGCGAGACAGCAACAGGACAACGAAGCATGAACGATGGAACGCAGACTGGTACCAAGTGCACCCAGCAGCCCAGTCACCATCAATCACCTGCCAGCAACCGCTTGTTGCAGACATCGGCCCTGGAAAGGGAACGAGAGACACCGAGCCTTGAACATGTCTTGGCTGAGGGGTCCCGAACCAATCGTCACGGATCCGTCATCGAGGCCTCTAGCTGTCAGCACGGCGCGGCAGCAAAGACAGCCAGCAAAGGCAGCAAACCGAAGCTCCTGTGATCAATCCACATCCTGACAGACTGAATGTGCTTCCCAAAGACTCGTCACAGAAAATGAATCTGCTTTGAGAGCTTTGGGCATGCCAGCTTTACATGTACTGCCCGGAAGGCCAAGATGTCACTTCTAGGATTTGCAGCAAGCTCGCCGCGTCTGTCTTATACCTCACAACTGCATGATGTACGTGCAGAGGTCTAAGCTGCCAGCGCTCGACATAACCGGGCGTGACCTGAACGGCAGATGCCAGTACGGGCTGTTGCCTCCTGTTGGTGTCACTTGAATGCCTCGGCAGAAGAGTAAGTATTGAATGGATATCCAACTATCACATAAGCCTACACTCGCGACATCAAACAGGCAAGCTGAACCGCAATGCTGAGTTCGGAACACGTGAGTGAATTCAAGCACCGTGTTCCGTTAAGGCGAGAAAAAGCAAACATCAAACACATGGGCCCTTGAATCACAACACAGCCGCCCAAAAGGAACACTTGTGGCTGGCATCATAAGACCACCCAATGCACTATCCGAGCACAGAAACCTGCAATTGTCATCTGCTTGCAGACGTGACGGGTTCTAGGGCCACAGCATTGCCCCTTCCCCGCCTGCGGCCCGGCCACACCCAGCAAGCCCGACACCTCTCCTTGGGAGGCCTCCGCATGTCATAGTATAGTATATTTATAGTATATTATATATAGTATATTATAGTGAAATTGCCGATACTCTTTCTGTTGGTGACTGCTGTATTGATAAAAATGCACAGGCGAGGCCTGCACGGGGTCGCAAAAGGAGATGCTGTACCAACGTAAGAACTGGGTAAACTGAGTTCTGAGAAACTAAAGCTTGGAAATATTGGCCTCGATGGGGGCGAAGCTCTCGTCGAGGAGGTAAACCTGCCGCTGCGGTGAATGCTCTAATTTTGCAACATTAAAATCGGCCACCGTGTCCGGCTGTTCTTCAACAAAACCTTTCATTCAGTCGAAATCCATGGACATCCAATCCAATGCCGAGACACCTTGGCTCTACCAAGCGGACGCATCGCATGGGCGCTGCGGCCGTCGCTCGTTGCTGTCTCCAAGTTGCAGGAAGCGAAAGTCAGGAAATACTCCTCTGACAACTCAGGCGATTTAGATATTGGGCGCACAGGCTGGTGGTTAAATGAACTTTCCGAATATTCTCCGAGAGCCAGTCGGCACTTGTGAGGGATATGGAGCTTGCACAACCGGCAATGGGGAAGAGCCAAGACGAACGTCTGCATGAGGTTCTACAATTCCCACAGCCTTTACCAATGCTCGCCATACAAATCTTGCAACGGGAAGTCTGCACATAAGGCTTTCTGTCAAAGCAATCTCACCATCTCGGTCCGTAGCAATGAGCAGGTCGGCCATGCGCACGCCAGCTGCCTTCCTCCATGCCGCCATACACAGGCACACACAATACAAGCCGGTGTTTCTGGATCAGAGAGAGAGGGTCAGGGCGTAAGAGCTTTCAAACTCGACTTTGCTTCAAGCCAAAAACGCCACAATCAGCAAAAACATTCAATTCGAGTATACTACGGGTAACCGTAGTAATTAGCAGCAAGAGTGATAGTACTAGCACTCGTGCCAGTATTTGTGCTAGTCGTCGTCCGTCGTGGTCGTCGTGGTCGTGGTAGTCGTGATCGCCGTGCTCGCTGCAGTCGCGTTCGTGGTGGAGGTCGTGGGCTTTGTCCTAGTGGTCGTCGTCATTGTCTTGGTCGTCTTGGTCCATGCCATGGTGGTGGTAGTGAAAGTTAGGGACGGTAAACCCCGTGAAACTCATTGCAACACCAAATTGAACTGTAACATCGACCTCGCCACCAATTCCATTCCTGCGGCCACGACTAGCTCGAAACACCGATGACCATCAGCAGTGTAGTCGAGTGTCCACATGGCGCCCAGCTCCACATCACAGCGCTCTGCCTGAGCATCTGTCAAAAGATCACACTAAGATCAAGACCCATGATATTCACAGAAGTTATGCATCTATGGCATCTATGAGTGGCACAAGCAAACTTTGACGCGTGATCTTTCATGAGTCTAGCGGAAAACTATGTGCGCAGCCTTCCTAAGCCCAAATTGAAGCCCAGCCCCAAGGCTGCATGGGCCAAGAGGCCCAGCTGAAGATCACTCGGAGACACGAGGGGAAGTTCTTCGCGCCAGGCCAGAGATTGCTCCTCAGCAGGATCGGTCTGGGCTTCGCTGGAGCCTAGGGTAAAACGCCGGCGAGACTGCGAGGCTGTCGGATGCTGCCAAGTTAAGTTATGCTGGGGCATGTGTTGAAGTGTGCACATCCACTTGCCGCATGGCGCTACCGCATCTATTCTTAGTGGAACCGTGCACACCTACGCCTCTGACGTGCAGCACAGCATATGCCTGGGCCGTCCTGAGGGTCCTAGGCACTACCACTACCAGGATGCAAGAGCAAAGGGGGGGCAAAGTGACAGTGCAAACGATGCAAACGAAAAAGTTTTCCCAGCGTTGTATTGTATCTGCAGCCAGCAAGCAACTGCGAGGGAAGTGCCCCGGAAACTGTCACGCCACGAGCTCCCCAGTCCGGATCTGTCGGCTTCATGAAGACGATGCCCATGCGCATAGCCTCAGGGGCCAATCTTGAAAAGAGAGAGGAAGATAGAGATAGGAGAGAGAGGGAGAGACAACGACAGAAGGAGAGCGAGACAGAGGCAAGCAATGCCAGGCAGAGAAAACAGACTTGCGTACCGACAACTGCTGTGAGGAAGCCCTCTGAGGTCTGGACCAGGGCAACGTCGACCTCCCCGAAGTAAGCGGCGCCCCACCAACCCATCTCATGGTCGATTCGCCATCGGTCCTGCAACGAAAATTCAGGCATGCAAATTCAGGAATGCAAAGCAGGTCTGTCTGTGGCTGGTTTTGCGCAATTCATACGATCTTGGCTGTTGTTGCCCGCATGGGCGCCCGACGTCGGGATTCCACTGCTTGTCGTACTCGTCCTGTGCGTTAGTGCTTAGTGGTCAATGTAGACTGACGGCTCAAGACCAATGTCAAACATGCGTTGCAGCGAGTCAATAACAGAATGCTCAGCAGACGCGCAAGACACGAATCTGGAGAATCTCCACAACGGAGTTTGGGCTGGACTTTTTGTGTTCCGTGGATTTGTCGTTAAACACATGGACTTACTCGGCCATGCGTGCTGGGCCTCTAAGGCTCAGTCTATGGAACCACCGGTCTGTTGGTGAAAGACGAACTATGCGTCTAAAGCGCTGCCTCGAGGAGCTTGCCGCGTCCAAATTGCTACCATTCATCCTCAGACCTCCATGAGCAAAACCTCATCCCGACACTTCACTTGCCGATACTGGTGCCGTGCAAAGTCTCACGCTCTACCCAGCGGTGCCTTGTGCGGATCAACCCAGTACCCGAGCTTGCCGAACAGCTCTGGATACCTTGCAAGTTGAACTGTCTGGTATTCTTTTGCGAAGCTCACCTCTTCGATTCTTCGGATTCGGACGGGGGCTTTTGCGAACAGAATGCAGGGCAAATCCGGTCGGAGAACAAGTCCTTGGTGAAATACAAACCCTAAGTGGTGATTGACGTCAGCTTGTTTGTGAGTCTAACTTAGGACTGATAGCAGGGACTCTTGGTTTTAGTGGTTTGGGTGTTTGTTTTGTTTCGGATGTCTGAGGCTTGGTGTACAAACCCCTTGGAGATGGAGGTATATAACTCAAGCTTACGAAAGCAGCCGGATCTACTTAACTCGCCAAAACAGTTCTACGTTTGGCTTGTAAGCTAGGTCATGGAGCTTGGGATTTAGTTGCCAGTAGCAGGCGAGTGCAATGTAATGCCGCCTGAACACAAACTAGAAACGGGCTCTCATTCAGTAACTTAATCTAAGCTCCAACAGTACGAAAAAGTGTTTTTATGGGTATCTGCGATAAATTAGCTCCTTCAAAAAATCCCAGGCATGGAGCGGCAACGCAACAAGTTAGTACAATCTTCAACGTTCTGGCCTGCTGCTGTCATGCCTTCTGAACTGCGATGAGATTTAGTATGTCACCTTTCAAATCGTGACCTGCTGGAATTTGAGCACCGTAGCACATTGTTATGTCAGTCAGACCATGTACTGCAGGGCCCCGCAATGCAGTCATGCAAGGCCATATCATGCATTTGTATGTCTTATGTGACGGTGTGCTTTGTGGCATGCCATACAGATTGTGATACGCTGTGTTATGCACTGCTGTGCAATGTCGTGCTTAGTTTGAACATTAACATGATGTGGGCAGAGCATGAGCTGACCGCTGAGACTTGCCGACTTTCATCTGATGCACTGTTTACCGGCAGCAGTTGTGAGATTTGAGCATCAGCCTTCGAACACATCATCTTCTTGGTACGCTTCAGACTCTTATGTGAAGACCTGGGTTTTTCACTGCAAATCACCATCGCCTCATCAAAACAAACGAAATGCCACTCTCTGCGGCGCCAGGTTGAATGGGCCGGGGAGCACCCGAGCCAGTGCCCCTTTGCTGACTTCGCCCCCTAAACCATCAACTTCCCCACCACGGAAGCTTAAACCTAAAGCGTGAGCCTTGAACAGCAAAGTTGAAGCTTGATCGGTAATCTTATCTGGAGGTCCCCTTTGGAGTGACTCGTGTGGAGGACGTCTTCATTCAGGACTTTCTGAAAGCAGTGACAGGAGGGAGGCCTTTTTCGCCCATTGTTTTGTTCTTTTAGGTAGTTCGGGATAATGTCAGGGTCCCCCGTTTCCTGGGCCCCTAGCTACTTGAACAAGACTGCGAATTTTCGTGGAAGAATTTTGTTGACGCTAACGGGTGTGTTGTGTTCCAAAAAACATGCAGTCCGCCGATGAAGAGCGGCTCACCCGGTTTATGTGATTTTGTCTGTCCCGAAACTCCCTGCAGGGACACATACGCTGAGATTTCTGCACACTGAGGCCACTTGCAAAGCAAAAACATATCACACCATCAGCCAGTCAGACTTGGCTCCCCACCCTTCTGTCTCGCTGTAGGCCATGAGGTTTGAGAGGCACACGCACTTCGATTGCCCTAACAAGCAGGATCAGCCATCTGCTCCGGCAATCATGAGAATCATCTTAATTTCGAGGTGTCTGGTGTAATCAGGATTCTACGCGCCCTGCATGCCTACAGTGTTCTGGCAAAGCGGATGCTGGAGGTGGGGTCACGATCCCGGCAAAGACAGAAGCACACGGCTCGGCAACGGACCCTGCGGTCGGCCTGTGCTGCCAGACGTGAACATGTAGGCCAGCGCATGCTCCGTCGTGCTGGGCACATCCTGTGGTGTCAGGACTTGGGGTCGCGGAGATAGCTGAACTGGCCTCCATTTCCTGCAGTCCTCGTAATCCCCGATGTCATCCCAGGCCAGGAGCTCCCGTGCTGAAACAACCTGGGCCCAGACTGCTGGTCCTAGTCAACCTGAGAACGTTTCGGCCCTATGAGCTTTTGTTTGGCCTCCCACATGGCTAGGACGATACCAGCATCGCAGGGTGGGGCTTGGAGTTTGGCGTTGCTCTGCTCGGTCCTTCTTCCATCCTCAAGATCCCGGGGTGCGGGCTTCGGGGTGTTAAGACCCTCACTCTCGGATCAATCCAGGGTCTCACGAGGTGTGATAGCTGTACCGGCGATGTGATAAGACAAGAACTCAGATTCGTGCCACACGCGACAACAACCACTACAAGGGACAGGCCCACCATCAGCATCAACCCCCCCCCCCCTCCGCGGTTCAGACACTACTAACCGGCACGTACCTGCCAGGATCCCATAATCCACAGCACCCTCGGGACCACGAGCCAAGGCAGCAGGAGAGGCAAAGTGCCCGAAGCCCGGAATGTAAACGACCCCGCACGCCCCCAACAACCCTAAATCCTAAAGGCCCCACACTCCACACTCGCAGAGCCTGCAGCGCCGGCCGGTGAGCTTGAAGCTCCGACACCAAGGGTGAGTCGGTAATCACTGCCACGGGCTCGAAGAGGGCCATTGCTTCCTCCACACCGATAGGAATCCAACCGGTGGAAGGGCTGGCGGAAATCGAAGGCCGATCAGACAGCTGAGCTAGAACCATTCTGCGCCAGAGCAGGCATGAGGGCCGGGTGCCAGGCTATCAACAGTGAGTAAGGTAACCACAGAGTATGCACCATCATGCCGAACTCTCCTGGAGTGGCTATGCTTGACACAGAGTCGGTAAAAGCCATGTTGGCCCAACATGCGAGGGAAGAGTTGTCCAGGAAGGAGCGGATCTGAGGTTCTCGCAGTAACTCGCTATTGCCAGAAGATATCGATTCTTGACCAAGTCTGCCCCTGGCACTCCATCCCCACAGCGTCCTGATATCGTTGGAGCAACTGTGTCCTGCTGCAAGGTTTGTACTACCAGTCTCGGGCTTTCCAGGCTAGGGTTTAGCTTTGGGGTTGCGCATGCACTTGCCAGGGGCCTGTGAACTGTCCTTGAAGTGTCTCAAGCTCAGCAGTCAATGCCTGTCGACCCATCTTTTGACAAATTAACCTTGAGACTTTGCACGCTCTCTGCAGGTCCTGTTGCCGTGGGTGATGCTCAAGGGCAATACAGGGAAGCCCTGGCGCAACACGCCGAGGACGAGGATCAAGGACTCAGCAGCGTGAGGCAGCATAACGACCTCAGCGCTTGCACAGATAGAGCCAGAAAGGCTCTCCCAAGAAGCTGGGCATTTCGATGGACAACCGCCTCTGTCCCCGTGTAGCACCGAAACTCTGGCACATGATCCTCCGGTTACCAGTGCGACCCTTGCGAAGCTGTCTAAGCGAATCACGAGCCTTAGGCCATCCCAGGCCGTATGCTGAGATGACCACCATGGGGGCTGGTGCGCCAACGATGTCCCCAAAACGTTTCCTGAGCAAAGACGTGATGCTCAGGCATCTCGAATTCTACGATTCTTCATTGAGTCCTGGCAACGAAGCGGGCCTTACATCTGCTACTGCAGGGCCTCCTCTGATCACCACCTAGCCACTTCGACTGGCCGTGCCTGCATCTTTTCGCTTGCCGAGCAAATGTACCACATAAGATGCACAGAACACTTGCACGCTGCTGTTTCCGTGCTCTCTGCTTGTCCAAACGGGTGGCGGATAGACGCTGGAGGGGCTCCCAGTCAGTCCTAAGGACCGGAGGGCCGCAGCAACGGCCTGCAGGTGGCAGGCATCATTTAGCGACATCACCAAGGGGTCTTGAAGGCTGGGAGGCACCAGCGACGGAGTTGATTTGAAATCCTAGCCTCTCTGCAGGCTGAGGCACACCGCTTCAATCTACGGAAGGGAACATACCGAGTACTTCGAGGCGAGGCATCTGAAGGCCTCGAATTCTCGGAGTCAACTTATTGCTTCAGACCCGAACAACAGCTACCTGTAGAGGAGGCTGATCAGACGCGTGGGACTCTCGACATGCGGCTTGGTAAGGGGGGCTTGCTACAGCAAGGACGTCCCAGGACAGCTCCAGTGCGGCAGGGGTGCCTTCGACCTCCGGGAGAGCTGCGCCCAGGTGAGGGTCAGTGAGTCATCCTCTTGCTGTATTGGGAAACGTTGTCTGAGCTGAGATCCGGTCCCGAGATACATTTGACATCTGTTTCAGCTTGAGGCTTCTGGCTTCAGCGCTTGAACTCCGACTCGGCCAGTCGTTGACATCGCAGTACGCTTGACAGCTTAGCAGTGCGGCCGAATGGGCGAATTACAGCAAGATGGCCGGTTGTTGCTTCATTCCTGGTCTCGTACTTAAAGTGCTCGTGAGCAGTGTTCTCTAATCCGAAATACCGCTCAGAAACGCCAATGAGACACGTTCATGCAGCCCCTAGAATTTAAAAAACAGCCCAGGCGTCCGTCACGGCCAAGCAATCCGGTAGCTCGCGGCCTGCAAGCAGGCGTGGTTCAAGCCAACACAAAGGAAACCATCGTCAAACTTCCGACACAAAGCCTGAAGCCAACCCATCCCTCATGCCGAGCAGCAAGCCAAGGCCAGGCTCTGTAAGTGGCACTAGAAATGAGGGAGCTTGCTACACTCGGGCTCCAAAATTGGATGAAGGCTCTCGGAGCTGGTACCTACGCACTTTTTTGTACACGGTGCTGGGCACTGTTAGTTTTAGTGTTTGAGGGGAACTGATACAACTGGAGACGTGTACCCCCCTGTTGCCTGGCCTAGCTCGTCCACTCTTGCTGGCCAGCTCCAATTGAAGACACTGCCTGCGCCAACAGCTCGCAGTTTCGCGGCTGACGGTTGGTCAACTGTGGCCTTTTTCACGAGACTAGCAGCGAAAATGTCTAGCCAGCCCATTCCAAAAACAACTTCTGACCCAATGACCTCTGAAGTTCGACTGTCAATAGTTCCCTCGTAGGTCGTAGCTGCCACCTACTTGTGACATAGGATCCATGAACGAGCCTGTCTTGCCATCCAAATCCATGGCAGGCAGGTCGTCTGATCCTGATTCTGGGCTAGCTTCGCGGGTCCAAGAGGAAAGGGTTTCTACGCAAGTCTGCCCAAAGCGCCTGAAAGCTTTTGAAAGGGCTCTCTTCGCGGCACGATCGATATATACATACATACATACATACATACATACATACATACCATACATTACATTACATTACATTACATTACATTACGTTACGTTACATTACATACATACATACATACATACATACATACATACATACACACACACACGCACACATATATATATATATGCTCACCCCCTTGGCAAACCGCGGTACACATACAGTGTGTTCTTGGCAGGTGACTCGGCCAAGATCGGCTCCTGTGACATTCAACCCCTGAAGGAAAAGCACGGCAACCTGCACTAATCCTGAATTCATCGTATCTAGAATCTAGAAACTCTTGTATCTATGAACAAAATTTGCTCAGGATGCGCGCACCAGACGCGCGCACAAGTGAGCGTGGCGGCGATGACGACGAATAGCGAAGCCAAAACAAATCGCAGCTGTCAGGCACAGAGGTTGAGAGAGTGTTTTTTTGTGAATTGACTGACCATTCGTTGGCGAGAAATGCTGATTAAAGCACGTTCGTGATTGCAGCAGCGGCAGCTAAATACATCGATGTTAAAACTAAGAATGAAAACACAGATTGATATTAATAAGAATAATAATAACTCATACTAAGATTAACACTTGTACTCATGCCAAACTCGCCCTGATACTAAGACTAATGTCCCTACGACGATTAATACTCGGATTTGTATTAGTAGGAAAACAAGTCTGACAAATTGGTACTAAGCATGATACAATTATTGATGTTAGGTTGAATACTAATACTCCTACGAACACTACTACTCGTAGTAACAGTGCTACTAGAACTAATACTCATATCAACACTCATGCTACTACTCATACTAATACTAATATTCCTGCGAATACAAATCATCAGAATAGACTCAATATTAATGCGAATACCGTTATCAATACCGGTGCCAATATTTATACTAATACCAATCTTACTATGAGAATTAATGCTCCTACGAATGCATACATACTCTCATGGCTGTTACTGACATACTATTACTACATCTGACTTTGATAACTTTTTGAATATTCAGGTTAATACGAGTATTGATACGCATGTTCACACTTAGATTACTGGTACGAATATGACAATACGAATACGAATTTCAACATTAATGCTCCTACGCATACCAATAATCATATTCATGTTGATATTAGAATGTATTTAATACCAATACTCATACATGACTGCATATGCGAGTGTATATAAACATACATACCGATATATTAAATTCCAAATATATTAACGCATTCATGAACTAAAATACTAATATTTTTCACATACCCTCATACCAATATGCTAATATACTACTCTGTTCATGTATGAACATACAAATATGCTAATATACCGCTATACCAATACTGCAATATATACAAGTATGCTGGTATGTGAATATACTACTATACCTACTGGTAAGTTACCAGGTTTAAAAAATATAGCCGTATACACAAAAACTAAAAAAACTCATGTACTAATACATAAATTTACAAATATACTAATATACCAATAAATTAATGTACTCATGCACCAATGTACGAATTTAAAAATATACAAATTTACTACTACACTAACATATTAATGTATTGATATATTGCTTTGTTAATATACGGGTCGATTAGTATACTGACATATGGACAATAATTCTAGTATTTATAGAAGTGCTTCTGCGAATATCAAAACTGACAGCATCAAGGCTGAGAGTACTACTAATACTAGTTTCAAAACTAATACTGACATTGACACTGGCACTAACACGAGCACTAAATACATTGTTCGGGCGGCTGTTGTGGGGCACAGGTTGCTTACGCTAATGGGGCGGCTGTGAGACTGCTTCCCACGCCTCCAAAGCAAACCCCCTCCAACCCCCCAAAAGCAAACCCCCATACTTGAGCCGGAAAGGGGGTCTGCTTTGGAGGGCTTTCCAAACAAAAATACCACTTCAATTATTGCGAATTGTCAAAATTTCCAAAATTCTTCCCCCTAACTTTCCAAAATTTCCGAAAATTACATTCCAAAAACTCCATAATTTCCAAGAATGAATCCCCTAACTGGCAGAGTCGCTCCTCAACATTGGGGGGGGGGGGGGCAGAATTTTAAATTTTGGAAATT